CCCCTCCCCGCTCCCTCCTTCCCTCTTGTCTCTGTTGATTTCTTTTCCTTTCAGTGTTGCTGGTCTTATTTTCCTTGCATCTTTGTATTGTTGGTTAGGTTCCGCTTATAGGTGAGATCATATGGTATTTGTCTTTCGCCCCCTGGCTTATTTCGCTTAGCATAATGCTCTCCAGTTCCATCCATGCTGTCATGAAGTTTAGTGTTTAACAGCATCCTGGCTTCTACTCACTAGATACCAGTAGCATGTCCCTTATACTTTGTCCCTAACTGTGATGAACACAGATTTCTCCAGGCATTGCCAAATGTCCCATAGATGGCCAGATCAACCTGGTTGAGAACTGCTACTATAGATTATCATCCATCTTCTAAATTAACATCTAGTTCTTTCACTTAAACATTTAACAGATATATTACATTGTCAATACATATCTCAACACACAAACTTTTCCTAGATTACTTATGCTCTTTAGCTATTTATTTTATCGGAAGCTCTGACTACCCTGTAGAAATGGAGGATTCTGCCCTGTATTCTAATACCCTGAAGAAAATATATTAAAGGGATTCTTCTGGCCCTTTATAACACTTTCTAATCAGTTTTACTTCTCCTTTATTTATAAATCCCTCCAGTTGAGGATCAAATTATTGCTTTGTCCTACTATTTTTCTACTATAACTACTATTCATCATACACTTTGTTAAATCAAAATTTTTTACTATAACTACTAATTTTCAAACATTTCTTTGATTTAGTGAAAGGTTTGGCTCTCTACCTAACCCCCACTCTCTGTAAGTCTAGTGGAACATCAGCAATACAGACTATGTCTGACCAAGAACCAAAAATGCAGTAACCATATTACTGACTGGGCAGGTGTTTCCTCTTATTACCATACCCATTCATTTACTTTTTCCTGTGAAATCTTTTTCCTATATTTCTTTAAACTTGTCTCCCCACACTCTTATGCTTCAGTTAATCATCTCAAACTCTCCTACTGAATACTTTCAACAGAATCACTTTCAATACTTGTCCCTAGCCTTTATCCTCTTTAATTAGGTGCTACTGTTTGGTTAGGATAATCTTTTAGGCTTAGATTGCTTTTTTTAAGTACATTGCTTTAAAAAATCTGCCATTACCTGAAAAATGAGGTGTAAATACTTTGGTACGGACATTCAAAGGTCCTTCTGTAGCATTTTTTGTTTTTTTAAACAACTTTTCAATGTCTACTTGTGTTGTAATATGGTTTTGTTGCATAAAATAAAACCTCAAACTTTAGTAATGTAACTATAAAGATTTCTCACATATGAATTTGTAGATTGACTTGGCACGTCTACTCTAGGATGCAGCTTTTTCAGATCTCAATCTGTTCTGCATGTGTCCATCTTCTTTCAACCAGTAGGCAGTCAAGTTATATTGCTCTCCTGGAGAGGTTGAATGTGTGTGGAGTTTCAGACCAAGCTACCCCAAGATGTTCTTCAGTGGTACAAGGATTACTTTGAACCAAAGTCAATGAATGTTAGCTTCAGGCTCAAGAGAAACTTTTGCCCTTCTCTTTAACTACCTAGAAGAACTTGAATGAAGAGCCTCGCCCACAATAAGAGATTATCAGAGATAACTTCTTTCGACCTATCTATAGGGCAGAGCAAACTTTTATTTACTAAATGTCTGTTCTTATTATCCTGCAATGACTTTGAAGCCCTCAAGGTGTATTACATCATCCCTACCTTGGGATGTCTTATAAACAGATGTTCCCTTTCTTTCTCTGAACCTCTCCTGCAGGTGAGGTCTCTGACTCTCTCATGCATATCGGGTTCTCCTGCCTCATGATGATTTGGTCATTAGGCCAGCTAGAAGAACCTTGAGAAATTTTCCTCTAGAGGAAAATTTGTTTCTGCCCCCCAAAATTATGTGAGAGGTTAAAAATATATGATGCCTCCTAAGGCCTAAACACTATTGTTTCATTTCATATTTCATCAGTCAAAGCAAGTCAAATGGTCAGACCCTTAGCCAAGGAATGAAGAGTATCTACTGCTTAAGGGTAGGCCATAGCCAGTGTGTTCATAGGGAGGGATAAAGAATCAGGCCGAGAAAGTGCCATACACTTTCATACCTCTGTTCTTTTATATATGCTGTTCTCTCTGTCTCAATAATATTCTTTCATTACTTTGGTAATCTGGTAAAATTTTAATCACTATTCTACATGTAGTTAAATAGCTCTGTCAGGTTTATTCCTTTCCAGAGAGGCAGGCTAAATTTCCTGTTTTTCTTTGCTGACAATTCTTTTTACATTATTCTTCTATAATTGTTTCATTAAATCATTAAAGTGCAAAAAGACTATTGTTTATCATTTACCTGAATCTTCCACTGGGCTCATAGAGGATTCTTTAGATTATTGGAAGGATATTTTTTCCTTTGCTGGGCTCATAGTATGTATCCGCCCAAACTGTTAAAAGATTTGATGAATTTAACTCTATTTGAATGGCTGGACAGTATCTGTGGTCATATCTCTGAGATATTAAAAATCATTATGGGTAAGAAGATAACAGGAAAAATAGGGAGGAACTATTTTCCTTCTACAAGATCCAAATTGATTATATTGTCACCTATGATTTTTAAGAATATATAGTATCTATAGACCTGTTTTCAAATTGGTACACCAAATTTTGAGAAGAAGGCACATTGTACAAATGCAAGAAGAGAGATTTTATAATTGTGGAAGCTCCTCATATATAGGTAGGATACTGGACAGTAAGATGTTAAAACATAAGAAAGAGATAACTGCTGAAGCTCATGTTGAAAGCACAGCCTTATATTTATTACTTAACAAGATTCTTTTAGCTCCTCTTACTTATTTTTAATCTTTATTTGATCTTCAAAATAAAGTCAGAAAATAAAATGAGAGAAAAGCTCTGCAATAAATAACATTTAGCAATTTTATTCCAATTTATTAAAATTGCATCTAAGTTGGTGTCCTTTGGAAAGATGATTCTGTCTATGATGTCAGAGATAAAGGATCAAACTGAGATGTGTGGTGCAAATACATTCACCACTGAGATAATCAACCAGCCTGTAACTGAGGTGAATACTTTAGTTACATGAGGAAAACAAAACAGAACAACAACAACAACAAAAAAACTACTAAATTAGCATACTATGTAGATACAGATGTTGGTTTTTACTTCTCTATTTGACATAATTAGTCTCATGCCTTAAGAACTCTACACTCGAATGAGACTGATTTAAAAAGAATAACCAAGCTTCCAAACATCCTTATTAGCAATAATAGTATTAAAAAGTATATGAGGTAACTGAAGTGTAATTCTTATTTTTACATCACTTTATTCTATTACTTTTCCTAATAAGGTGACAATTTTTTTTTATATTTTCAAGTTTTAAGTCATAAAAAACATTTACATCATAAGAGCTATTTCACTTGACTATTGGATCAGGAACTATGACTAAATAGATTACAGTCAGGCTACAAATCTATCAGGAAATAAAATCAATAAAAAACATTAAGTTACTGGATTTATAGTTCTAACTGATTTATAATGGTGTATAGGTGATTCATTGCTATTGTAAAGTATTATAGTTACTCATTAGGAAGATCAATGTATTTGGTAACAGAAATATTTTGTTAAGGACAATAATTGAAATTCTGTTTTAGAAACAATCCTATAACAGAAAAATTTAAGTCATATATTGTTTGTAGACTAGCACCAGATACAGATTTTACCTTTTTTGTGGCAACACAATTATTTAAATTGTTGGGAAAATGATTACTCAGAAGGAAGTGTCATGCATAAATTAGTTATGGATTGAAAATTGTACTTAAAATTATTTCATATGCTGGAATATTTAAAACTTATTCCTTATAAATGAATATATAAATTATATATAAGTATGCATATATAATGTATATATAATGTATTTATATTATATATTGCCAAATAGTAATTTTTCTTTCATAGTACTTTTGCCAGATATTGTTGGTTAGATAATCCAAGAGCTCACTATTGCACACATCTTTGTCAATTTTTAATTTTGAAATATTAAGGCAAAACAAAAAACTAAATAGGGTCCAGCAGAAGTAAGGCCTGTTTGAATGTGATTGGTAGAGTAATAATATGGGTGTAATAATTTATAGTTTTAATTTGAACATTTCACCTAAAATGTCATGTAGTATGCATGAATGTGATATTATGTTACAGAATCACATGCTTATGATTTTGAAATAAAAAAAGAGGCGTTATTTGTGCCAGATCCCTGTATATTCACATCTCAGATGCAGCTAATTTTTTCATGGTTCCATTTCTAGCAGAATAGGTGGAAATGTAAGAGGAATTCAGCTTGAGGGTCTTAGGGATATTTTTCTTACTCCCTTTGATAAATGAGATAAAGTCTCAGCTGCTTCTGACCCTACCCCATTCCTGCTTCTGAACGTCTTCATTAGTTATTATACTAGGATCTGAAGCCTTCTTGCAACTGTGGAAGAAAAGATATTGTATAAAAAGACAGAGAGAAAAACATAGAATCTTGATGATATTGTTAAAAAGTTGCATGAATACTTGGAACAAACTATCTCCAAACTTCTTTTTATGTGACAAAATGTCCTATCTCCCCCACGCTTGTTTAAATTCCTGTTACTTTTATTCACAAGATTTGCTATCAGGTGCACTGTTCTTAGAAACTTTCAAATATTAAAGCTATCTTTGGTTTTTCCAAAATTAAAACTATCTCTGTAAGCTTTTGGCTATTTTGCAGAAAGAGAATTATGATTTCTACCCATTTCTATAAAACTAAAATCTAGTTTATTTTCATGAATCAAGGTCTTACTTGAGAGCCTTACAAATTTTTTATATATGTAGTATATAATAATAATATAACATATACATTAATATATATATTACGGGTAATAATGGGTCACTATTATATAGATAATAGTAAAAATAATATCAAAACATTATCAATATAAAGTGTATTTAAAATACTGTTTCTTCTTTAAAAAATATGGAATGTTTCACTAATTTACCGGTCATTCTTGCACAGGGGCCATACTAATATTCTACGTATCATTCCAATTTTAGTTTATGTGTTGTTGAAGTGAGCACAAAACTGCTGTTTCTTTTTCTTACTAATTTTATATAAAAATAATTAGATATATGCTTCTCTGCTAGCAAAATTGATCAACATGAATATAAGCACAACTTCTTAGAAGCCCCAGGCATATCTTATAATTGCCTTGGTAATATTAAAATACGCAAGAAATCCTAAAATGCTTAATTTACAGCTTATTGATCTAGTGCTTATTCAAATGTTACTAATATATTTTCTTTGCCTGCAGTAATGTATAAGTTGTGTCTTTTTAAAAAGAATAATGCTTTCACAATTCCTGAAATTTCTGCCAGCTGTTTGGATTAGGCTGGGTTCATGTAGTGAAGGAAAGAATGAATTAGAATAATCTAAATGCTTAGTTTAAGCTTCCAGAATATCTTCAGTTAAAATTTAAAAAAACAACTTATATTTGTTTAAAACATTTCTTTTTTTCTTTAAATAAATTTTTATTTTTCAATTACAGTTGACATACAATATAATATTAATTCCAGGTGTACCACTCAGTGATTAGACATTGTATACCTTAGTAAAGTGATCACTGTGATAAATCTAGTACCCATCTGACACCAAATGTTGGGAAATGCCCCATCTGGTTTCAGGGACTGTAGCCTTGCTGACAGGTAGAAGGACCCCAAGGCAGCAGCTAATCAAGGAGGCCTTGGGAAAACAGGCCACTGAGGAGACAAAACCCTTCGCATCACCCTGCTTGGCCCTGTGATGGTTGCTTGTTGATGACAGGAAAGTTTTCTCACGAGGAGGGACGACCTACGCTAGACATTGGCTGGTATGAGCAGCAGACAAGGACTTGGGGGGACACGGAGAAAGGGCAAAAAGGCCCGCACCCCTTGGCCTGGCTTGGACATGGCTGCAGTCCTCATTCTATCTGAAAGAAGTCCCCTTATCTCTTGGTGGCTCTGCCTTACCCACCTGGCTCAGGCTTGAAACAATACAATAGGCAGGTACAGCCCTAAACTGGATCAGGTGGTTTCCAGGGACAATCAGGTCTAGAAGTAAGTTCCTCTAAACATACTTATTCTTCCCTCAAAAGCAATGATAACTGGCTCATACTAGGAAGGAGGTATACATTATTCATACACCCTAACCTGAGGCAGATCTCTTGTGTTCCTCCAATTGTTATCCATGATCTCTGATTGTTTTCTGTAAGCATAGTCTTTTGACATTTATTGATGAGCTTTGCATCCATATCCCTGTGCATATGGTTCTCAATAAAAACCTTTGGACATGGGGATTCGGGGCCTTCTCTCCCCTAGAGGGAAGCGCCATGTCCCCTCCCCTGGCAAAGAGAGAAGTGTTTGTGACGACTCGTGTTCATTTCCCCCATCCGTGATAACCCCGGGTCGGGCTCTGTGGGATCAGAGCCCTGCTCCCTCCTCAGCTGGCTCTGGACAGTGACCCTCAGATCCAGGAGTGCCTGGTATGGCGCTCTCCACAACACGGTGCTCCCTGCAACAACCAAACATAGTTATTACAATATTATTGACTATATTCCCTATGTTGTACTTTACATCCCTGTGATTATTCTGTAACTGTAGTCTGTAGTTAGGTAGGCATGAGCAGAGTAGGAACAATATGCCAGATACAAAGGCGCCCTCAAGAGGAAGAGTCCTAGGTGCCTAGAAAAGGTGCCAAAACTACAAGCTGTTGCACATCCATTCCCTTAAACATTATCACCTGTAAATGACATTTAGGCCTCAGCTGTGTTTCAGCCCCAGGCCAGAGAAGCAGCAAAATCAGACAAAGTAACGCCACAGCTAAAATCAGGATTAGCTGTATTGAATAATAATTCCCTACCTGGGCACCGATCAATCATTGGAGACTAGGACCCTGAAGGGCATGCCTGGAAAGCTGATGAATATTGTATTGAGATCCTCTTCTGAGACGTCCAGATAAAAACCCGTAAAGGCAGGGACCCCAAACATGCTCTTTCTCTTTTTCTTGAGCATGCTACACCTTTCCTTCCTCCTTGATCTTTCAATGTATGTATCTCTCCAAGGGCCCTTCTTTTGCCTCTGCAACTTATTTTCTAAGCCCATTTCTTCTATGGCTCACTTCTACTTCTGTGACTTTCTTTATAAATTTTCTCTTATAGTTTGAATCTTGGCTCTGAATTCTTTCTTAGCCAGAACTCAAGTACCAAGGTTGCTGCACTGAGGTCTAACATCTGGTGCCATTTTGCCACCAACATAACTTCTAATTTGTACTTCTTAATTCTTTCACTTTTTCCATCCATTCACCTAACCCCCCTCCCATCTGACAACCATCAAAATATTCTCTGTACCTATGAGTCTGTTTTTGTTCTGCTTGTCCATTTATTTTGTTTTTTGTTTTGGATTCCACATATTTTCTTTTCAAAAGGTGTCTACATACTACCTCATGAATCTAAGAACAATTTTGTTCAAAATATTAATTTTATTTTGTAGGCAAGGAAATTGGGATTCAGAGATGGTAATTGATAAAACACAGCTAGTTATTAAGTGGTAGATACAGAATTGAATTCAGAGCTTTTAAAAAATTAATTTTGTCCTCACCTGAGGATATTTTTTCATTGCTTTTAGAGAGAGAGGAAGACAGAGAGAGAGAAAGAGAGAGAAAGAGAGAAATATGTATGCAAGAGAGAAGTATAGACTGATGGCAACCCTTATGCGCTCGGGCCAGGGATTGTATACAGCCAGACCTGGATAGGGGATTGGGGGTTGAACCTGCAACCTAAGTGCGTGCCCTAACCAGGAATCGAACCCACGACTTTTTGGTTATGGAATGATGCTTGAACCAAATGAGCCACACTGGCTAGGTGAATTCAAAACTTTTACTCTTAGCCCTGTAATCTTTTGAAGGCAAAAAGAGATTTGTGATGAATTATTTATAATGCTTTCAAGATTTTCTTCTTGTCTTTAATTTTCAGCATTGTTCCTATGATATATCAGTTACTAGGTCCCTTTATATTTATCCAATTGTAACAGTGGGGAATTGTAACTCACCCCACCATTCTTTTAACATTGTTTCTATAAATGCTGACTATGACTAATATGTAGCTTGTAGATAAAAAGTATGCTTGTATAAGCATTCTGGGCACAGCTTCAAAAGACACAGATTTTGACCTTCAATCATCCCAGCTCTGGGATTGAATAAAAATTCCTTTCCTTTATCACAAATCTGGAAAAGTCAGATTTGCTGACTTTTAACCATAAAACTAGGATGACATAAAACCAGGAAGATGCATACTAGACTACTGCTTGACCAGTTTTGAAATTCTTATCCGAATGGACTGTGCTGGTCTACATGTAGAGAACTTTTCGACCTCCCCCCTTGACCTCTTTGTCTTGCTTTCCCTCTCCCTCCTTATAAAAACCTCTGCCTGTGCAGAATTGCTGAGATGGGCTTTGGGACGAGAAACCTGCATCTTCTCAGGTGGCCAGCACTTGAATAAACTTTCCTTTTCACCAGCACTTGTCTCACGAGTTTGGCTTTTGTTGCAGCAGGCAGCTGGACCTGCATTCTGTAGCACTATGTGGAATTTGTTGAGCTTCTAAGAAATGTAGGTTATAATATTCCAATAAATCTGGGGCTTTTTGAGCCATTACTTTTTTGAGTTTTTTTCCCCCTGCTCTGTCCTTTCCTTCTGGTGGTCCCTTTACATATATGTTAGTATTTTTAATGTCGTCTCATTTTTTGGAGGCTTTTTTCTCTTCCTTGGATTGCACAGTTTCAGTTACTATAAATTTCAACTTCATAATTCATATTTGTTTTTTGAAAATAATTCTTTGATCTTTATTGATATTTACTTTTTGATTTAACTTTGTCAGTATACCTTTCCTTTATTTCATTAATCATGGTTTCCTGTATTTCTGGGAACATATTTATGATAATTACTTTTAATTCTTACTCTGATAAATCTGACATGTCTGGTCTCTCTCACAGGCACTTTCTATTTGTTAGTGACTGACTGAATTATTTTGGTGAATTCTATCCCAGCCCCTCACTCCAGCTCTCATCACACACGGTGTTCAGCCTCTGATGTAGGGATGGGTAGGCCAACAGTAACTCTGGAAAGAAAATAGCATTGGGAAGAATTTTTCTTTGGCCACACTCAGATTTTAAACTCTACTAATTGCCAACTAATTGCTATCTGATTTTCAACAATGCCCTGGAGCACAAATTGCTGTACACACTAATCCAATCAAACTCTAGTTTCTTTGAAGGAATAGCTTTTGAGGTCAATTCTTGGTTTTTGTTTTGACCCCTCTCATCTGCCTTATTTCCTGAAATAGGTTCTGAAACCTGACCCACCTATAGTTTATCCTGTTTCTTGAATCTCCTTCCAACTGCTTTTCATTATAAGTAACTGCCACTGTTCTTAAGAGCACCGTTAGGCTTAAACTGCTTCACTCTCTGTTGCAAATGAAGTGAGTTTCTTTGAGAAGAAGTTAGGAGCTTTTAGGTTTTTTCGTCTGTTTCCTGCCTCAGGGAACACCTTGAGCCAGAGCTCAGTAGCTAGGAATGGGGACAGTAATAAGCTTCTCTCTGGGTGACACCCCTGCTCTAGTTGCTGAGCAGTGGGCTTGGGTGGAGCAGAGCCTTGTATCCTCTCTGGACTTCAAATGACAACTTTCGGAGCCAGGATAAGGGTGATTAGTGTTCTAGTATTTTCAGCAGCTCCATGAACAAAGTAGAGCCTCTGTTCCACAGCTGTCCCATCTACGACTGTGTTGCCGTTACTGAACAGCAAGTGGGGTCCTGGTGCCTGCTGCCCTACTCCAAGCGAGATTTCAAAGGGAAAGGTTTGGTGATAAAGGAAAGGAATTTTTATTCAAAAGCTACGCAATTTTGGAATAACAGCCTTCTACAGACATTAGTCATGGAACAGCTTTAATCACTTAAGCCTATCCATTAAGGCTGGTATCTGTAACTCTTTACAGTTTTAATTATTTAAGCCTATCAGCTAAGGCTAAAATGTTTAACACCTGAGTTCTCCTAT